TTCACCTGAGTTACTGGAGTATCCCTTCACCTGATTTGAGAGTATCCATTCACCTGATTTAGGAGCATCCCTTCACCTGATTTAGGAGTACATCTAAACAGCTAAAATACGGCTATGAACCTACTTGTACGAAAACCGTTCTATTTTGAGGTCATTTTTATATTGTTTTAAACAATAAAAAATATCGGCCGAAGTGAAAAAGCGCAAAAAAGYGAACGTTTCTTATGGGATCCCTGTGGTATTTCCAGTCCTTCTCGTGTAAAGGAAGAGCTCCAAGATGGCGCTGGCTTCGCTTCAGGTAAGATGTGTTTTACTCAAAATAGCTCTACTTTATTCACCTCAAAAACCACTTGAATAACCAAACGATGCCTGAATCAGATATATATATTATTGTGGCCAATCTCGGAGCAGAAACTGGTGAAAGCAGTTGGTTAAATTATGTTTTTTTTTAAACAAAATGAAGGCTTATCTGTCAACATTAATATTGGTTGAGTTCAATTAAGTTTTCTACAAAAACCGACTTAATTTATGGAGTGAAGATGGTTTCACAARAGAAATAAGAATTAGTATTACATATGAAAGATTAAGACTTAAACAGTTACTTAGGTTTTCTAACATATTTTTGGAATTGACTTTTGTTTGAAGTAGAGAAAGTTAGTTTAAAGTTTGTTAAAGTACCTACACCACCTAACTCAATACTTTCTGTATTGATTCTATATCAWTTGAATATTTGAATGGTAAAATTTTCACATGATTTGAGTGATGCATCTTGGAGATATCAAGGTTTATACATCCAATATGCTAATGAGTGTGATGTCATTATAGGAATTTGAGTTTGTTTGTCATCATTTGTAAATTGAAACATTGATTACTATGAGGAAACAAATCTGCATTAACCTTTCCATAAACCCTGAGTAAGACAGCAAGTAATATATACAGTATGAGTGGCCATGTTGTATCAGATATACAAACTCGAGGCGTAGCTGAGCATTTGTATATTGGATACAACACAGACACGAATACTGTATATCACTTATCAAACGTCTAGGTTAGTTCCTTTGTGTTTCACTAAAATTTTCAAAATTAAAGTGAATCTGCCCAAGAAAATCCAAGTAATTAAAGTTTATGCAAATGAACACAATTTTGTATCAGATTTACAACACTCTTCACGTTCGTGATTTCTGTTGTGTTTTCCTCATTAATTATTAATGAGTCTGATAAGTAATATATACAGGATGTTTCATTGCCCCAGAAAAGTTTTGTATATTTAACTATGACTATAATGACATCACAATCATTCAAATACCATTCAAATATTCACTTCATCTAGAATCAATACTGAAAAACCRATAGCAGTTTGATTTCATACATTYGCAGTAGCCACATGCGATCGCTGAGCACCTATTTTATTTGATATTTTATAACCATGGAATCCTCCGCAAGGTTTGCTCCACACACACTACCACTACATTCTATATTTACAACATACAACACTCAACTCACATGTTGATTTTTTATATTTTATGACCATCACTCCCTGTAAGGGGATCCTCTACAAGATTCACTCCACATGCATTACACTACATTCTATATTTACAACATACAATACTCAACTCACATGTTGATTTTTTATATTTTATGACCATCACTCCCTGTAAGGGGATCCTCTGCAAGGTTCACTCCACATGCATTACACTACATTCTATATTTACAACATACAACACTCAACTCACATGTTGATTTTTTATATTTTATACCCATCACTCCCTGTAAAGGGATCCTCTGCAAGGTTCGCTCCACATGCATTACACTACATTCTACACATACAACACTCAACTTGCATATTCATTTTTATATTTTTCTACCATCACTTCTCACATGGAGCTCTTCTGTGAGGTTCACTCCACACACACTACCACTACATTAACTAGTGCAGTTTTCGTATGACTGTTAAAAATTCACGGCACGAACACGGTCGTGACACAGCAAGGGATACGCCAGACAAATCACATTGTACGAGAATTTACTCTCCATCCAATCAAATACCCGGAACACGGCACAAACCTGGCRCAGACACGCTCACGCCAAGGTCACGGCAATGCCAGACCAATCACCTTGCGCCTGAAAAAAATCAGCCAATTAAAATTCTAGAAAGCATCACGGTCACAGCACCTCACGCTTACGGCACTGAGCTTTTCACAGTCATACGAAAACTGCACTATTAACAACASTTGACTCACATGTTGATTTTTACAGAGAGAGTGGCGGGGGGGTGGGTCAGGGTGTGGCTAACTCACCAAGAATTGGCACAAAGAAGTAAATTATAAATTAAAAATAATTAAAATCAAAGCACCAATTTTAAGAAAACTTTCCTTGCTTACA